AATTAATTAAATAAAATCGTATATTTTACCAAATTACTTCATATATAGTGAAAAAAATTATTTGTAATCAGATGAAATCATATGAAATCATGTAATCTTGGGGACAATATTTCAGCTAGTGGTTACTCCCTCGAAAAATTATGTATTTATTTAGATAGCTTTAATTTTTGCTCTGGATTGAAAGAAGTCCAGAGCATGTGAATATTTTAATTAACCCTTATCGTACCAGCTACAATTTGGTGCCTTATCCATACAAACGGGGGTACTAGAATCCGTCCGTTTTTTTCACCTATTCAGAATAATTCAAAAAATCTCTAAAAATTCACCAACATACTTTCAACTTTCTAGAATAAATATTGGCACTTCATTTTGGAAAATAATAAAATATAGTATAATTTTTATAATTACCGAAAGACTCATGGAAACTTGCACGAACAGGAATCGCTCGGAATTATCATTAATGACCCCCTCTTGTACGGTAAGGGTTAAGATTAAATAATAAAAAATAATAAAATATAGTATAATTTTTATAATTACCGAAAGACTCATGGAAACTTGCACGAAGAGGAATCGCTCGGAATTATCATTAATGACCCCCTCTTGTACGGTAAGGGTTAAGATTAAATAATAATTTTTATCATACACATTTCTGTCGAAATCATATGTAATTTCATGTACTTGAACTTTCAAGAAAGTCTTTACATACATCAAAAATCTGATTAGGTATCTAAAGAACATCTGAAGGGCGTTGAAAAGATTAGATCGTCTTTAGACATCCTTCGAACTTTTCATTATCGGGATATCCTAATTGTACCTTCTAGCGCGCGCGTCAATCTCTGCGTACATATTTTAAAGGAAGGCAAAGTCAAAACTGGATAATGGGTTAGGGCGACGCGACGGTGAGATAGTTACCTATGGTGTCGAGGATAGTCACGCCATACGCGATCGGCCGCGTGAGCGAATTGCCGAGGCACGCGCCGCTCCGAAGTACGTAATTATCATAGGGAGGTTACCCTCAGACACATACACACGCGTAGGGGGTCGAGGGGTCGGTCGACTTGGGTCAGGAAGTCACGCGAGGCGCACAGGGCGCACTGGGGAGCGGAAGGGCAGCAACGTCCACGGAGGTAGGAGGAGAAAGAGAGAGTGCTTTTATTGTTCTACGAGTCGTCTTAAAGTCGCTTTTCCTGGCCAGTGGGCAGACCCGTTGAAACCCTCGGCTGGTGGTCGATAACGCGACGTGATGTTTCTCGACGGACGCGCCAGCGCGCCTCGACAATTCTCCAATCGACCCGCTGAGGTTTATGTTATTTTCGCGATGTAAGGGTATATAAACCGTCGCGCAATGGGAGCAGCACTCAGATCAATCCTTGCTTATATCCGACGAATTTGACCGAAGCGCTTTTCCTTCCGTTTATATTATAAAGAAGAATATGAAGAAGAGGGAAAAGCTACAGTCATACAAGCTTTTAATAGTTTCTCGTTTGGTAGGAAATTATATACAGAGATACGTAGCTGGTTACATTTCATCCAGACACAGAGACAATTTTATTCCATATAATAGAATATGTTATTAAATTTTTATAAAATTCAAAATTTAATTGTAGAAGATTGTACGCGAAGCTAGTCTCTTTCAATCTTCTCTAAAATGAAAGAAAAATTGTTTAAATCAAATTGATCTGATATACGTACTTAGTGCCTTCCATAACTGGGATAACATAAACCAAATATGATACATTTGAGCTATTTTTCGAGAGTAATAAATCCAATTGGGAAATCTGTCCAAGAAATATAAAATTTTCGACTGCTAACACTGACAGCGCCACAGATAATTAAGCTTCAGGCAGTTCACGCGAGGAAGCTTTTTTGACCACTTTGACTTTAGATTGGATCGCGTGGAACAGTACAACGTTTCAGTGCGCATTTCGGTACGGAAAGGTTACATGAGCATGACCTGCTTCGGGACATGGAATAACTTTGGGCTACCAAGCACGCGAGCAACATTAATGAGCATACTCGAATTACTCGGTTTACAGATATATCTCTAATGTGTTAATTCACGGGTGTCAGTTCATCATTGTCCTTGCATGACGTTACGGAACATCGCTGGCGCAAAGTCAGGAAGTAATTTGCATTAAAACGCGTCGCTTACAAAGCAATTCGCTGAATTTTTTTCACGTACGTGATACAGTTTCTTTGGTATTTTAAAATTTATAAACTTAAATCCTTATTTTTGTTTAAATGAATTATTATATTATATAAATATATATATAATATATATAAAATTCACTTAAATAAAAACAAGAATTAAGTTTATAAATTTTAGAATGCCAAAGAAACTGTATCAATATTATGATAATCTCGTCGAAATATTATTAACACAAAGGTAGATACAATTCGAGAAATAAAATTTATATAATACGGATATATATTGTATGACATGTAGAAATTAGAATTTAAGTCATTTAAAGTTATTTTAATTAAAATATCATATTATTTATTTAAATGTTCACATTGCCATTGCATTTAAGTGACAAATACCATTGCGCCTTTTATGTTAGTATTATCGAAATAATGTTTTCAGAGTCGAGTACATTTTTAAGCACTTTACGCTTGTCATTTATGCTTTATGGATAGGCGTTACAATCTCTTAAGCCTCTTCAACTTCTTCTAGTATTATCCTTTACACGGTAATTATCTAACGAATCTCGAAAGTAGCGTAACCTGAAGTCGGGCCGCTATACGAAGAGACAAGCTTGTAATTTCAATTTCACGCGGTCCAAAAGACCACAAAGTGCCCTCGGGTCAACACACGTCACGTCATGTAATTTCATGAATCTCGGCGATGACGACGATGTCGTTCCCTTTCGCGTCGATGCGCAAAGTGCAAACCGAGTCAAAGGCAACCCTGCGCCTGTCAAGATCAGAGAACGGTGCTGGAGCACACTATTCGAAAATGCCCCCGAGTCCACATCGTGCTCGTAAAGCGACTTGTGTGTGCGTCATCGCGAGAAATACCTGAAAATTAAACTTCCAGTGCAATGCGAAAAAGGGATCCAAAGGATCCAAAGTCCGTCTTCCGAGAAGTCTTCTCTAAAAAGAATCTAATTAATAGAATCCTATTAATTAGCACAATTCTAGTTATTTGAAGAGATCTCTTCAAATAATTTATTCGAATTTTTATATAAAGTGCCTCAAAATAGAGTCCAAAGAGCAAAATTTCGTTCTGCGCTATTCCCTTATACAGTTATAATAATACCGTAATAAAAAATTTACGATAAATTGAAGCTAATTTATGAAGAGATAATAAGCGACGCAGGTCCGTCATTTTTATTTGTATAGAACTATAATTTTCGATTTTACAAGACAATCTTAGGACATTATTTTTGCACTATTCTTAACTCAAAATTATAATGCAAAATCGTTCGGAGTCTGTACGTAGTCTGCTGCATATTCGTCATATCATACATTGTGTTAAATTACGTTTAAAGCCTCGGCGCTAAGGTGTGACACGGCAGACTGCGCGAGTCGTGAATCGTGAATGCGATCCTGAATACAAGGACGAAGTGGACACTGATGGCGCCAACGGGTTCACGCGCGTTTAAAGACGAGACTTTTACATTCTCTCGCCCCACGGAGGTGATCTCGAACAGCGCCCGGGCTGTTGTAACCTGGTTGGCGGCGGCCAGAAGCCGTTTATAACAAAGATGCCTGCGGGCAGGTCTCTGTGATCTCTGCGAGATGATTGTGCTAGGCGTTGGTGTTGGCGTCCACACAGGGTGGGGCCTGCTCTTCGGCTGCGTTACCACTGTGCGGGCAGGCGTCTCTACACAGCCCCCGGGGCTTGCTCTCTGCCACCCTTCCTCACCCTCTCATTCCTCTGTTCGCTCGCTCGCTCGCTCTCCGTCGACGACAAAGGGGCCGCGGTTCAACGCGCCACAAAGCACCCGGGACGCCACCTACACCCACACCAACACCTACATTCTCGCATCCTCTACGCGTCTGCACGCACAAAGCTTGCTCGAACAAGCCGGAGCGTCGCGACGCGTGAACTTGCACCCAGCGGCGCCGCGACCCACCCTTTAGGTATACGTAGCGTCTAGCGAACCGAAAACGAGGAAAAAGAAAATCTTTCCTCTCAGATAGAGGGAGTTTTGCGAGGACAATGAGACAAGGAGGAGGCACGCAGGGGACATCGCGAAATTTTAGAAAACCACCCCGGTGTTTGACATTGATACGACGGAAATCGAAGAAATACGAAAGAGTTAAGTCCAGTTGATTGTCAGTGGTGATTAGGGCTGGAATAGGGCTACATAATCTAATCGTGAGTTCTAGTTACTACACAATCAAGCTAATGCTTTGGCTTCCGGAAAGAACGTTTTGCTGAAGTATACAAAAATTAGGCCAAATACAGATTTGAAAATAATTAACCAAAATAATTATGTAGAATGCATAGACATAGACGATAATACAACAAAAAGAGACATTCTAGCAATCAGCTTGAGCATTCAATATAATTATTCAGAAGGGCCTACATAATTATTGTGTATTTTCTGTATCTAGTTAAATTTTTAGATATTTTAGCAAAATTTTTTTATATATTAATATGAGAAATATATATGTATGTATATGTATACATATAAATTATTCTCATATTCATGTTGAGATGCATTTGTATGAATGGGAAAATTTTGCCTTTGTGATTTGTTTAAAAAAAAAATGTAAAAAGCACAATGGTGTAAATAGTTATTGCTTAGTATTAATAATATCAAAGTGTTTTCTATAATTGCAAATAGTAAGAGGTGGAACATTATATTTTCAAGATTGTATAACTATATTTCTTAGTAAGTATTCTATAAATTAATGAATTGAATCTAAATATACTATCTGAATTAAACTTGCTAAATACAATTGTGTATAAAAAAATACAATTTTGTCTTTATATATTCTCCTCTTAATATTGTTAAACACCTTCGTAAATAAACTCAGGTGAGACTCACCCTGACCAGGTGCCGGCGACGTGGCGTGGCTCCAACCTCCCTTATAAGAGCTGCTAGCATCTGAAAGCAGGGGAAATATTTTTCAATTATTTCTTTTTATTCGCAGTGCAAAGTTCTCGATTTGCTTCGACGCGCGTTGGAAATCTACGGCTTATCGATCCGCGCAGATATTTCGTGATTTAGCTGGATTGCGATTACATTTTTTGAGGTCACGTCAGTAGCGCGGGCGAATATATCGTCCGCAATTACTGGTTAATCGGTTCGAGGAATCACGAGAAGCCGTAAAGTATATCTGATTGAAAGTGCTCTGAGCTATCGTGGCGACTTCGACGGGGAAAAACGCGTTTCTTCTGCTTCGCGAAATCTTTACGATATTTTAACGGCTTTGATCGTTCCTGCGTGAGAGCGATGCAAAATGTACGCGAGAGAATTTATACATATGCGTTGCATAAGCATATATCGTCTTAGAAATCGATTCTCGATACGTAAATTTATATAATAACGAAGAATATAGCTGAGCTATTTACTCTCAAAGTTGCAGACGTTGAAAAATTTGACTACATTAAAATTTTAACTGTTTCATTCGTTTATAAAATACATATGTTGTATGGAAAGAACGATTTTATTGAAATATCTAAAAATTTAGATAGATACAGTAATTTCATTGAACCATCAAAATAATTACGTAGAAAATTCAAGCATAATAAGCAATGCTGCCAAAAGTTTTCACATTGTAGCAACCATTTTGAATCTCTCACGCAATTATTATAATGGTCCAACAAAATTATTTTCAGATCTGTGTCTTGCTAAGTTTTTAGATATTTTAGCAAAGCCGTTCTTTTTGTGTAGAAAAAGATGAGAAGATATACAAAGTGTATTAATCATAAAACCTAATTTCTGAGATATTAGACTAAACGTTAAAATTAAAAGGGTTATTCGTTTTTATGTATCATAATAATTTTGTTGTTACAAGGATTAAAGATGAAACAATTCTAACGAGTTAAATTATTTATAAGAAATATCTAAAACACATGTAGCTATAATATACAATATAAGAAAAACGTAAAAAATGAATATCACTTTTCAACATTATCGTGTCTAATCTTTTAGACACAAATCTCAGTATATACATGAAAAGAATGGTTTTGCTGACGTATCTAAAAATTTAGCTAGATACAAATCTAAAAATAATTTCGTTCGGACCATCAAAATAATTATGTAGGCCACTTAAACTGGTTGCTAGAATGTTAAAATTTTTTGCATCAACGTTTTAGCGTTTTACATAATTATTGTGATGGTTCAATGAAATTATTTTCAAACTGTATCTACTTAAATTTTTAGATACTTTAGCAAAACTATTCTTTTTGTGTACGATAAAATTAAATCAGCATTTTCTAATTAGCAATCAAAAAGTGATCTTGCAGTTATAGCGAAAATTATCTAAGTACGAAAAATTAGTTAAAATAGATAAATTTTTAGCAAGTGTACTACAATATTGGATATGTATTGCATCTAATCATGTAGATGACAGAGATAGAATTTAGATTTGTGCTATAAATTCTACGCGTATGATACATAATTTTCTATCAGATACAAAAAACAGTGATAATTCCAACTGAAGCAGCAAAATATATTTTTTTGCGTGATACTCTTTACATAACTCATAAGTCATTTTTTATTATTACACATTCTCCCAGTCATTTCATATTAATCTTGCACACAATTGTAACAACTTACTTCTTTTATACTTAAAAATGTTTTTGTTTAAATTTCCTCTTTTCTGGATCTACTTGATCAACGATCGCCGATCTACGGTTTGCTTGGTCGAATAATATTTGAGCAAAAAAGGCGTTCGTTGAACAAATATGGAATTATTTGTAACATGTGCGCTTAGTTGTTGCTCGCGACAGCGACGGCGATGTTCAATTCGCCACGCAAGAGTTCTCTCGAGAGCTCCCGGCGCCGAGCGAGCGTACGCGTCACCGTCGCCGTCGGTGGCATGTTTGCGAACAGATATATTTTCATTTCGCAGTTATTGGCACAAAGGGTCGGCCCTCGTGTGTACATACGTAGGTACGTCACACATCGCGTGGCAGAAACTCCGACTTTCCGAGCAAACAAAACGAGCTACCCGCGCGCTCACCACGGCTCGATCTTTCGTCTTTACTGCCCCCTTCATTTGATCTGGAGACCCCGGAGTCCATTAATGGATCCTCGGATTTCACGTTTCTCAAGTGCTAAGGGGTGCGCCAATCGTTCGGTAATACGCGCCGGATTTTCTTGGGGTTTCTTGCGAAATTGTGTTGCAAGATTACGAACTACATCGCAAAATCCTGATGAACTCTTCCCTTCTCAAGAGGAATATAGACAGCTTAAAAAGCGAGAATTCCGACGGATTATCGAATGCTTGCATACAACCAATACTATTTGCAATAAATACTTTGACAGAGTAATTATAACGTTGTATATACAATAAATTAAGATATAGCTTTTGTTAATTATATTATTCATCATTATTTATTATTAATTATACTATTTATTAAGACAATATTATATGACACATGTTTTATTCAAAGATTTATTTACAGTTTTATTTTAGAATTTGTCACTTTTTATTTCAAGGTTTCCCAAATTTTCTATTAATGTATTTATTGCAAATAGCATTAATACATATAATAAATAAGCTCGATAAAACTCAACGATGGCAAAAGTAAAATATATATTTTCGTTTTGTTTGTACTTCATGGATTTCGAATCAGTCTTTGACAGGGACTGATAACACATGATTCAAAGGTAACAAAAATTTGATAAAGCAAATAGAAAACAATATAAACTTAATTCCGAATTATCAATACGTCAAAAGTTATGTGAAATTATACGTGAGCTAACAATAAGATGCTGATCTTACGAGATATAACGCTATTAGTTTAATTAATAAGTTAATGTTTGTTTTTTTTTTCTGTCACTTTTTACGAGCCACGTGGTCACTAACAATCACTTCTGCGCTATCATAATGATCAACGTCTATTGCATATAGTCTATTGCTTAAGCAACGTCTATTGCTTAATGTTTTAGCAATTAAATAATAAACTGCTCTATCTGAAGAATTCAATACAAATATTCTAGATAGATAATGAGAGAATCAACAATAGCTTTGCGAGACAATGAAATAGAAATTTCAGAAAGACTTACAATGAATATGTATTGAATTTTTTAATTACTTCTTGGTAATATAATAAACAATTTCATTCAAAACACTTTATTCTGTTTTAATAAGATTAAATGCTACATTTATCGCGGATAAATGTGTTTAAAAATGTACGCATTTTATATCGAACACGAAACACGCAATTGGCCCCATTAGACTTGTATCTGCTTCTAAAAGTATATTCACTTATTTTATATATTTCATTTAAAGTTTAAAGTAATAAAATAACATAATATAAATATTCACAAACATGTGCGGCATAAAAAGACAAATGTTTACGATAATATATTAAGTATAAAATCGCAAGCTCTTATTTTTATTGTAGCACGAAAAGATTGTTAAAGGCACTCGCGCGTGGGACACAGGGGGTAGCTCGCGCGAGAAACGGACACGGCGCGGTGTTTCGAGCACGGAATTCGGAGGCAGGTGGACACGTGCGTTATCGTGCGTGGTAAGGTAACGAGACGTTAACATGGGACCGCGATTTATCACCACACTACCGAACATCTGGCACGCTTAAAGCGATTCCGCGCGCACAGACTAGACGCGTGGATGGGACAATCCGGACAGAGCGGGACGTCGAACATACCGGCGAACAGCATCGATAGATTGGTGAACGCCGTGGTGCGTGGTAGCTCCGCCGCGGTGGTACCGCTGCTCTTGAGGTCCAGCATCGCGCGATGCGGTATACCCGCGCCACGACGCGCGCTTTTCAGCTGCTTTTCCCTGCGGTACGACGGGTGTTTTTACGCGAGCCAGCTGCCGCTCTTATCGCGGCACCGTCGACTTGCAGATTAGCTGCTGCGGCACGAGGCGCGACGACGACGAGGTCAGAAACGTGGTCATATCAGCAATGATGTCTCAGCAATGATGTCTCAGCGAACGACGTCTCACTCTCTCGAACGACGGCGAGCGATGGATAGCGCCGCGTGTTATTACTCTCGTTTCACCGATGGTCGTCGTCTGCACGAGCGTACACTGTACGTGGATTGCGCGCCAATAAGGGCGCCGATCATCTTGCTGACCCGCTCCGAGCGACACTGCCGGCTCGTGCGAGACGGACGACGACGTCGCTTCGGGGGTAGACAGGACGCGCCCGATCGACGAGGGCCAGCGGGCGAGGTCTCCGCCCCCGAAGGGCGCCGAGGTCGCATAGGGGTTGGTTCCGCGCCGAGG